TGCCTACATTAAAAAAAAAAAAAGAAAGAAAGAAACAATGCTAACCAATCAGAAGCCACCAACTAACTTATAGTTGTATAACAAGGACTTTCCAGCAGGACAGACCTAATAAGGTAACTGTATAACTGTATAACTTTGCTTTATTTCTGTGTTTTCCCTATAAAAGCCTCTCCTTATATTCCCTTGGGGCAGAACCCTGGAACCACTTGTGCTTCGAAGCTGCCCGACTCATGAATCACTGTTTGTTCAAATAAACTCTTTAAAATATTATGGTGCTTCAGTACCATTTCCTTCTAGAAGCTAGAGAATAGAAAACTATCTGCCCCAGGCTCTTTTCTCTTCCTTCTCTCCTGTTTATCTTTCAACAGCTCCATGCTTCTGATATGTGTGTATACAAGAGAAAAAGAAGATATTCTGCTTTGTATTTAATTATGCTCTAAATTTACAATAATTTAAAAATAGGAGACACTTAGCACATATTAATCCCAAAATATATTTGTTAGAACTTAAGGGATTTGCCTAAACCTGATACTGAAAATGTGGCATGTGGTTTTACTAATCTGGTCTCAAATTCTAAAGATATTGAAGCATATACCACAAAGCTGAAAGAGCTGGCCTCTTCTCAAATTGGTACCAAATGATACTTTGAAGTTCTTTCAAACATGAATTTAATCCTCCCTTTATTAAATTGTGTTTTCTTGGTTGTCTGAGCAGAGAATCATTGCAAGCTACTGAAACACACCTTCCATCAATTTCAAAACGACGCATGCAGTAACACTGATGACCAATGAACCTGTTTCAGATACCATCCATTTCTACAGATGCACATTTATTCTAAATCTAGGTTTTGGAAATGATACTGGAATTAAACACTCAGAAAAATAACACACACTAAAGATTTTGTTGTGCTTTAGAAACGTTTGCCAAGTTGATACTTAGAGCAATACTTTTGGGTATTATTTTCATGTTTTCTTTACAGATGAGGTGATAGAAGTTTAAAGAGTATATCCAAATGGCTAATAAATATATGATATGAAAAGGTGCTCTACCTCATTAGTCATGAGGCAAAGGCATTAAACCACAACGAGATGCTGCCACACACCTACCAGAATGACTAAAATTGAAAAGACTGACCATTACCAAAAGCAAAGTTATGTGAAACATGGCAAACACAAAAGAATATACAGTATATAATTCTATTTATGTATTAAATTCAAAAGCAGACAAAACAACCTATGATATTAGAAATTTGGGAAGAAGCAAGGGGGTGCAAGAGGAGGCTTCTAGGAGGCTGGTGCTGTTCTAATTTTGATCTGGCTGGAGGTTACACAGGCATGTTCACTCTGCCATAATTCATCAAGCTGTATACTTAGAGTCTATGTACTGTTTTGTATGTAGGTTATATTTTCAGGGTTTATTAAATTTTTAAATGACAATGTCATATGAAATAATCGCCCCTCTAAATGGGAACTGTGTGTGTGTGTCTCGATTCATACAATAAAACAACCCTCTGGAGTAAGTACTGTTATTATCACCACTTTATAAATGATGAAACCAAGGCACATAGAAGTTAAATAACATGCCCAAGGTTCCACAACCAATAAGTGGTAAAGATAGGATTGGAACCCAGGCAGTCTGGCATGAGAGCCCACTAAGAATCTTTTCCATTCTTAAGCCAGTCCTTGGTGCTGAGGTAGCACATTTCTTCACGGACATTCAAAGGGCTTAGAAAGCATGACTCTAAGTTGGATCTATACCAGGAAGCACAGTCACATCAAGAGAGGTGCCTTACTAACACCAATCACTTCCTCCTGTTTCCAAAATCAGGCCTCCAGAGGGCAACAGATTTGCTTAACTTTCGCCAAGAGAGTTGGGATTATTGTTGAAATTCAAGCTAACTGTCCTTTCTTTATATTCATTTACAAAAGATATTTTACATATGCCAGATGTTGTTGCACACTTATTCTACACCTTTGGAATTCTAAGTTCATAATTAAAAACATAAGCTAAAGCATACTCCCAGGGATAACATTGTATGTAGTGTTTTTCCTTTAAATGTGTTCAAATTCTTAACAAACTACCACAAAACCCTACTTTTATTTCCTACCTTATATCATTTTTACTCCCTATGATTTCAACAATACTAGTGGTTAGAATTCTGTACATCAAAATGATGAAGATCAGACCAAATTTGTTCTACCACCAGCAGAACAAACTCTTATTACCTTTCTCCCATCTCAAGCCCAGATGGAAAATAAGAGAATCATAAAATATTTAATGATACACTTCATGTGAATCCAGTTTAGTAAGTGAGTTATTTTGAAAAGATTCTTGTTTAAGACAGTTTGGTAGAGGAACTCCGTTTCATATATATTACAAACAAATAAGAAAGACATTAGTTATAAAGAAATTTGCGTTAGGTCCAAATGAAAGTCAGCATTTGGGCTAACAGTCAAGCAAAATAAATACAAGTTTCAGCTCTATGGCTGACAATAAGAGTGGAAATATATGTCAGTCCATAATATTTTCCTTGAATGATGCTGTGTTTATTACTTGATCAATAGAATTATCTGGTACACATAACAGACAAATAGTTGTTAGTATCACTTGATTTGATTTAAGTTCAACAATAATAGGCCTTTTGTAATTTTCAGTTGCAGTGTATTCAAAGTGACTAATCCTTATATCTAACAAGAAAATCGATACCTTTGAAATAATTGGCTTCAGGCTCTTGGGAACCTCTACTTCTGAGCAGGTGGACAGGGTTCTACTTGAAATAATTACTGCCAGAGCTACAACCAGTTTCCTTGCAAAATCCAATCAACTCACCCATACTATTTTTTAGACTGTTCTCTGAATTTTGTGAAACAATGCCAGGATTGAAAATACCGCTTACATTTCTATGCTTTTTAACTGGCTTTAAAATTTCAAGATTTGGGAAATGTACTGTGAGATGAACTGTGCATTCATTTTCCTGATATAGCATGAGAAAAATACCTCCCACATACCTTTATCTACCCAAGATGACAGCCAATCCCAAAAAAGTTTAAATAATCCAAGCATTTGATAACATTCCATAGGGTAAAGTCAAAATTTTTGAAGACGAAGGAAAAAAAAAAAAAAAAACGGCTCTGCCAGAGATTTTTTGTTCTTTCCTCCCTGCATTGTAGTTTTACCAAACTGAAATTTGAGATCAGCTACTAAGAAAAGATATTTCAAAGAAAACACAATGATTATCCTGATAGATTAAAATTTTTGAAAACGAAAAAAAAAAAAAAAAAAAAAAACGGCTCTGCCAGAGATTTTTTGTTCTTTCCTCCCTGCATTGTAGTTTTACCAAACTGAAATTTGAGATCAGCTACTAAGAAAAGATATTTCAAAGAAAACACAATGATTATCCTGATAGATTTAACCCCTTTATGGCTCTCTATTATTGTTAGTACTGAATTTTAGTAGACACTTAAAAATTCAGTATTTTATTACAGCCATCCATCCTCTGGGTACTTTATGGTCCAAGCAGCTTAAAGATTTGTGTGTTATGTCCCTGGTATTTACAGATTTCAATTGGTTTGAGAATCTCTGGGAGAAAAATGATTCTTCCCTTAAAAGGTGCATAAAGAAGGAATAAGTGAATTAATAAACGATTAGTAAGCCACTGATGTTTCTATATAACCAATGAACACAAGGTGCCTATGTAAACAGAAGATTCTTTTCTTTTTGCAAATACTTTCTTCATGGTTGGTTGGCTTTGAATTTCAATAACTTTGCTATTCCTAAACAGCACTGGAGAATTAAAGATAAGTAGCTGATAATGCCTTACCATTAATTTTGTGAATTAAAAGAGTGAAAACATAAAGGTCACCAATTATCTAAGTCATAAGGAAAACAGACAAGTATACTACTAATATAGGACAAAATTTTATTCATATAAAACAAAATAGACTATTGCCAGTATGTTAATCAGAAGCTTTTATATTAAATTCAGACCACGTACATATTTTTTAAAATCTGGTATTGTTTTCATTCATGATTTTCTTAGTTACAGTTCAGATTTCCTACATCTTCAGATATTTTAGTAGCAAACAAAATTTATCAGATACCCTAACAATATCGATAATGATACTCAAATAAAGTTTAATATCAAATGGTTGTACTATATACCTACGTCACAGGCCTGTTAAGAGAATTAAATGAGAACCATGCACATGAGATACTAAAGACTAAAAAATTTTAGTCTTTCCATGTAATAAGAATCCATATGAAACCTTGTTATCATAGACAACTGAGTAACTACAGTTGAAACAAAGCATGTTGGTATTTAATTTGGTTACTAAACTAACTGATTAAATATTTCTTGAATGCCTACAATGCACCTATGACAGGTATGGTAGCTACATTATAGTTAGTTACATTCTAGTTAAAAGAAGAAAAGACACACGTGAAGCAACAACAGACACTATGAAACCGTGTACTTATTTGCTACTCAGTGCATATGTTACAAACTGTAATGGTAAGAGATGAAAATTAAAAAGCATTCAGAAGGTGTTGGGGCCATTATTTCTCAGTGATATGTTATCCTATAATCCTATAATTTTCCAATATTATGATACCTTCAGTGCCTTTATGGAAGGAATCTGAAGCTGAATCCTCTCTAAGTCATTTAAGCATAAGACTAATCACTGCAGTGTAAATTACACAAATAATGTTTCATGCCAACCAATGTTTCACTGTTTGGCACACCGTATCTTTTTATTACCTTCCACCTCACTCTGACTTTGCAAGCACAGCTTCTGAAATAATATCCTGGGGACCGCTTATAAGCTTTTCACCCAAGATGAAAGTTAAATCATCATGCATTCCAATGGAATATAGGGCAGGATTTGCATCTGGGGCTGTGAAGTACATGTGCTGGCTTACTCACTCTCACAAGCAGGAACAAGGCAGCTCTCGATGGTGAGAAATCAGAATATTATGCATCTGCCTGCAAGGAGCGAGGTTACCTTAGGATCAGCTGTGAGCAATTTGAATGCTTGATATACTTGAGCTTCCTTTACACCGCCTCCAAGATCCAAAAAGTTGGCTGGCTTCCCACCATTAAGGAAAATGATGTCACAAGTAGCCATGGCGAGCCCAGCACCATTCACTGTGAAATGCAAATGGTACACAGGACAGGATAAATTTAGCAACATGAAAGGGTCCTCAAACATTTTCCCTCCCTCATGTTGCCAAAACAGAACTCTTCTCATTACCAGGCCAATTTCTGCCCTGTTTGGAATTCCATTTAACTAGATGAGTTCATGAATTTTTAGGATAAAAAAATCAGAAAATGTGTATATAAAGGATGAACAAATTTAACTAGATGAGTTCATGAATTTTTAGGATAAAAAAATCAGAAAATGTGTATATAAAGGACGAACAAAGACCTGGGAACGAGAAGGATTTATTGTGAAGTTAAATCAATCTGGGAAACAGAAAAAAGAGAAGAGTTAAAGTAACCAATTTAGGCTAGTAGTAAAGGAGGGAGTTTTAGGTTCTGGAAAGTATAAGTTTAAAAGAACTGGGAAAGACAAAAAAAAGGCTAAGGGAAGTTGCCAGGACCCATGAATATTCCTTTTAACGTCCTTTAAGAGACTCAAGCGAAGAATGGAATTCTTTCAATTTTTGCTTGATGAGAATATGCTGTTTTGAATGTGGCATCCCTCTGGGATTGAACCATAAGGGTCCCCACTTCAACAGGTTTCCATACATTTTTACACTTAGCGTAAACATGCATGTTTATATAATGTTATCTGGATAAATGTGGAAAACAAATGAACAAATGATGGCACCATAAACAATATTCCTATCCTCTTCTTCCTCTTTCAAATTAATATAAGAAGTGTTCACTAGCAACCTGATCATTAAAAGTTGAATCAAAATGTGCCAACATCTTAGGAGCCTTCCTTAAGAAACCAAGTAAAGAGTTTCAACACTGAAATTCTTCTCCAGAGCTAAGTTTTATCGATCAATTGTACTTCTATAGCTCCTTATGCTTAATTATATGACATTACCTTCCTCAGGTTAGAAAGCATTTTTTAAAAACTGTGGAACACAGCAGAAACTCTCAAGGTAAAGTACCCTTCACTTTTTCTGACTCCTGAATTCCCCAGAGAAGCCTAAGAACTGCACCTAATTTAATTAAGTATGGGACAACTAAAATAAAAATGTTTTATATAGGATTTTAAAACAATTTGAAATGTGTTAATCGTAGCTTTTGAGGCTGCTACTTAACCAAATCATGCACATTCCCTATAGAGACTTCAAAGAATCTGTATTTAAATTTGTTCTAAACACACCATTATGTCTTTACCCTTTCTAAATGCCTTTCAAATACTGATAGTGTATTAGCTTATCAGGATCAGAACAATGTGAGTGATCTGGTACATTACAATTATAGCTCCAATACCAAACAAGAACTTTTGGTATCACTTGTAATTGGATGTCATTTTCTATTGTATTGAACAGCAAAATACTAAATGAGGTCTCTTCAGTTCCAAATATAATGATACTGTGGTTTAATGAGCTACAAATCTTTTTTATTTTAATTCCATTAAGATTAAGACCTTGGTTTCCAGTGCAATGAATTGGTTCTACCAGAAACACAATCTTGTGCAATTAAGTATGAAGCATATAAATCTCAGCATTATAAGCTGTGAACAATAACAGAAATTGTATTGCCTCTACAGACCTATTCTTATCTCATCTAAGTAAACCATTTTCACAAATGCAGATGAGTATGATGAAATCAATTGTTTTATTAATAAACAACTAATATAAGGATTAATTTTATTTGATTATCACAGAATCTGAAACTTTAGTAAGACAATTAAAGTATATATCCTCTTCTATTTCCTTTGAGAAAGCAGTTTTGTTTTAAACCCAAATTTCAGACTAGTTTCTAGCATATTAACACAACTTGAGTAGCAAAGGTTCAGGTTTTTATTAAGCAACGTTAACTGAGATGCTTTAAATCAGTGGTTCTCAACTGGGATGATTTTACCCACCACAGACATTTGGAAATGTCTGGAGGCTTTTTTTGGTTTTTGAGAAAGCAGTTTTGTTTTAAACCCAAATTTCAGACTAGTTTCTAGCATATTAACACAACCTGAGTAGCAAAGGTTCAGGTTTTTATTAAGCAACGTTAACTGAGATGCTTTAAATCAGTGGTTCTCAACTGGGATGATTTTACTCACCACAGACATTTGGAAATGTCTGGAGGCTTTTTTTGGTTATGGTCTTCACAGCTGGGGGCTGTTAATAGCATCTAGAGGCCAGGGATGCTGCTAAACATCTTATAATGTACAGGACAGCCCCCTACAGTAAAGAATCACTCACTCAAAATCTCAGTAGTGCCAGAGTTCAGAAACTCTGCTTTAAAACAGTGACCACAGATCAAAATGAACTTTGAGAAGAAACTTTGGATTGTTTCCTAAGACCTTAAGGCTACAAAAAGTACATTTACGTGCTATTGGTAAATAACATTTCAGAAATCAGGGAGGTTCCTAAATTCCATATAAATCCACAAAGCATTCTTTTGATACAACAGCTTCTTACCAAAGCACGCAATGTTCCCATCCAGTCCGATGTATTTTAGGTCATATCTGGCAGCTTCATTCTCAATGGGCTCATTCTCTGATTTGTCATCCATTGCAAATATGTCCTTTTGTCGGAACTCTGCATTGTCATCAAAGTTTATCTTGGCGTCAAAACAGACAACTAAATACAGAAAAAAGAAACATACCTGAGTATCTTTGGAGGATCTATAAATTAAGTTCTCCAGGCTGGTAGGCACAGGAGATAGAAATTGTCATTTTGTTCTCATGCTACAGACAGGAGAAGCTGTTATGGCTTTCTTGACCTTTAAACTTTAGGGCTACAAAGACAAATATGACATAGTGCCTGTTCTCAAGGGACTTACGTTCTAGTAAAGAACATAGTAATTTATATCTGTTAGTCTTTGTTCAATAAAATAACAAAATGCCATCACCTGTTAAAAGCTAAAGACTGGCACAGCTATATACAGTTTTGATTCACAATATTTATTATATTTCTTATTTTTAGTATTTAACTGTATCCCTTTCCCTTTGATACAAAGAGAGACTAGACAATACTAATACTTCTGTCTTCCTACGTCCTTCATCTGCGATTGCAAAGTGAAATTTTTATTTAATCAGTATCCTCTCTTTTATTTCTGAAAGATTTAGTGGAAAGAATGCTGGGCTAGTATCAATAGTTTTTATTTGATCCTTAACTAACTCTGCAACCTTTTCTTAATTTTTAAAATTTTGTAAAAATAAAAATTGTATATATTTAAGGTGTACAACATGGTGTTTTAATATACATATACATAGTGAAATGATTACTACAGTGAAGCAAATTAACATATCCATCTCCACAGTTTGTTTTTTTGTTTTTGGGGGGTTTTGTTTGGTGAGAGTACTTGGAATCTACTCTTTCAGCAATTTCTAGTATACATTACTAACTCTGTAACCTTGATTAAAAATAACCTAGTTCTTCTCCGGGCCTTGGTTTTTAAAAACTGGGAATAATGATCCCTAGTCTACTGATATACATACTTGCTTTGGGGTCTGCTTAAGCTAGAGCCATGTCCTTTATTTCTGCAGGGCCATCTTACAACTCTTTTGATTCAAGTTATAGAACACTAAGAGATCAAGATTGGTCAGTTACATGCCAGGATGCCAAGCATTATCAGTACTACTGTCTCTATTGTGCTGGTAGAAATCTCCATATCTTATTGGCCAAGAGCCCTAAACAGCAAAACTCATCCCATGACAGGGATGGACCACAGAGCACTTTCCTTAACTTACAGGAGATCTTCTACAGCTACAATCAGAGAAAGGCTGCAGCTGGGAGGGTGTCATGCTTGGTATCTGGGTTCTGATCCCTTACTATCTCCCTGAGAGTAGAAATTAGTCCTCTGTGATGCCATGCCATCATAACATTCTTTTACTTAACTTGGGATATTCGTAAGTGGGAATCATTGACCAGGAATTTACAGATACTACCCATTCTTCTCTGGCATTGCTGATAGGCACCTAACTCTTTAAAGGGACACAATCACCCTGGCATATCGCACTAAAAAGCAATGGCCATAGTCTGCTAACTGCACTTACTTACTATGGAAAGAAAACATTGCATTATGGCATCCTGGCATTACAGACCTTAGTAGAAGGTTTTTTCCAAGAGTCTCTCTACCACGAATTCATGCACTTTAATATAAATCTGCGTAGAACTGGCATATGAACAACTAAGAATAGTCTAAGAATAGTTGACATAAATATAAATCCAGACCACAAATTACTTAAAGTATCACTGACTGACAAGAGAGAGTCTTAGATGCAATTTAATGTCTGCTTGAGTCCTTAGTCTTGCCACAAAGCCCAACCACTCTGCCCACACACTGTAAATATACAGAGTAAAGGAGTAATTACTTTCCAGAATATTGAAATCTTAATGATGAAATCCTACAACTACCAAAGGAATTGGCCAATGTTCTGTGCTTGCTACAATGGCATTTTCTTAGCAGTTAATGATCAGTATAATAATCAATAAAAAAGCAACTTCACTCTTGGCTTTCCACTGGGTTTATAAATACATTCTAATTAATTTATTAGCAATTTTAGCTCCTCCATTACTCACTGGCAGACTACTTGTAACTGACACCTTCGAAATGAATGGGCAAAGGCTATCAATTGATTCCTAAGTGAAGAGTTTCAAATAAAAGAATTCTTGGTTGGGATCAATAAACCAGTAAATCAGAATAGTTCCAAGCTGATCTTTGCCCTCTTACAAAGACTACAGTTACAAGCTGCTTGAGAGAGAGCATAATTAATAGATGTGTATGCAAAGTTCAGAAGGCTGTCCCAACTAAATGCCTGCAAAGCCAGGTTTTCGAAAGATGCTTTCCTATCGTATGATGTATATGCCAAGTACAGAACTGAGTTCACTGTTTGGGGACCACCTTGAGAAAACGTTACAGCTAACCCAGAGCCTGAAGATGGTGACTGTGGAATAAAACGAGTGTGTATATACAATGGCCCTTTGCCAACCATTCCCTGTCTGTACAGAAAACTAAATGACATAATTAGGCCAGTCACATTTATGTCCACGTGCTTGGGGAAGTTAAAAACACTACATAAATGTGAAGTTAGGAGACTTAGGAGTTAAGAAAGAGAATCCTAAATGAAATGAGCATCCTCAAGGCCCAAGTATTTGGGGGAGAGGGAGACTAAAGTGCCTTAAGGAGGTACAGGGACTCTCTGAGACACATATTTGTTATATCTGTTTATTATTTTAAAGGTAGTCTTTGATAGTGTAGTTTATAATAAGAAATACATATTTTGGTCTCCATCCCCAATTCCTGGCACAGAGCTCCTAAAATCCTTGTGATTTCCTGAGCAATAGGGGTATTAGCAGATTCCTTTATTCTAATATTTGTTCTTCAACCTCAATTTCTGACACAGAGCTCCTAATCTTGGAATTTCCTGGGAGACAGGAGAGAATCTTTTATTGTAATGAGGCAACTCTGAGTGGGCTCCTGAACAGGAGCTGGTCACCAGAAAGACCAAGCCATGATCAGAAGCTTGGAACTTCCAGCCCCACCCCATCCTCCAGGGAGGGGACAGGAGCTGGAGTTTGAGTTAATAAGGATCATGCCTACGTGATGAAGCCTCTGTAAAAATCCCTGAAGTACAGGGTTTGAAGAGCTTCCGGGTTGCTGAACACGTGGAGGTGCTGGGAGGGTGGGGCACTCAGAGAGGGCGTGGAAGCTCCTGGCCCCTTCCCATAGACACTGCCCTATATTCCTCTTCATCTGCCTATTCATTTGCATCCTTTAAAATATCTTTGTAATAAATCAGCAGTAGTAAGTGAAGTGTTTCCCTGAGTTGTGTGAGCCATTCTAGCAACTAATGGAACCCAAAGAAGGGATCCTGGGAACCCCCAGTTTATAGCTGGTCAGTCAGAAGTAGAGCTAAAACACTCTGGGACTTACAACTAGCATCAGAAGCAGGAGGGGCCTCTTGAGGGACTGAGCCTTAACTGTGGCATCTGATTCTAACTCCAGGAAGATAGTATCAGAATTGAACTGAATCATAGGACACTCAGCTGGTGTCACAGAATTGGTCAGAGTGGGAAAAATTCATACATCCGGTCACAGGAGAGTTCCATGTTGAGAGTACGGTAGGCAAAAACAGAAAACAGTTTTTTTGTTGTTTTTGTTTGTTTGTTTGTTTGTTTTTCCTATTACACATAGTTCCAAATACACCAAATGCTTTCCTGCCTTATGGCCTCAGTCTACAGTGTTGCATGGCCTAAATGCTTTTACTTGAACTTGAGCACTTAATGTACACTCTGGCATCAAAAACAGCTGGGTATAAATTACAACTCTGGCATTCCCTAGCTAGCTAGCCTATGGCACATAACCTCTTTTAAGCACAGTGGCCTTGCCAATAACATGGGGATCAGAATAGATTCTACTGCATGGTGTTGGTGGAAGGAGACACTGTTTACAAGCACTCAGCCTCACAGACAGCAGGGACTCGCTGGTTATTACTGTTAACCACCATCACCCTCCTGCAGGGCATAGTGCATTTTCATACTTAGAACTTCCCATTATTGCAGCCCAGGCTACTTTCGTCTCTTCCTCACACTAAAAATTCCCTGTATTTTATCCTATTCCTTTAAAATCCTAGACTTATGTTTCGAGTAAATCTAAACAAATGTCTACTAGAGTTTACATGTATACAGGTTACCTGTGATTTTCAATAAAAAGTCATCTTCTCAATACATAAGAATTTTCCAAAAAGAAAGGATTTTAATGGTTGGCATGCTAGGCACCATAACTGACAGAGAAGGAGATTTTTGGCTAAAGAACAAGGATCTTCTCAATACATAAGAATTTTCCAAAAAGAAAGGATTTTAATGGTTGGCATGCTAGGCATCATAACTGACAGAGAAGGAGATTTTTGGCTAAAGAACAAGGGTGCAAGAGAGGCCTGTGGTGACCCTCAAATCATATTACACCTTTGCATAAGGCCAAGGCGGCTAAAGGTTGGCAAGAAACAGCCCCAAATGAGGATCTAAGCCAAGGGTGACAACTGTAGCCCTCAAGCCAACCCATGGCCTGTTTTTATAAATACAGTTTTACTGGAATGCAGCCGCCCCATTTGTTTACACACTGTTTACAGCTGCCTTCCCAAGTCACCAGCAGAGGTGAGCAGCTGCAATAGAGACTGTAAGGCCTGCAAGACCCCAAGTATTTACTACCTGGCTCTTTATAGAAAAAGCTTGCCAATTCCTGCTAAGTCTCAATTCTCACCATATTTGCATCTGATAGATATAATAACCACAGGTATCACACTTTTTATAATGTAGAAATGTAGAATAAGTGCATTATGCTAGCGTAAAAACAGAAAAGTATAACAAACAATATAAACAAAAATCTGCAGCTACACGAAAGGAGTAGATTAATCCCTGAATATTGACTGACTCATATGCTTATTTGCCCCTATAAGAAAGGCCCCTCCAAATACACTTCTAGAACTGATGTGTTAGAGATGAACTGATGTCTATGTCAACAGCAGTGCAATAAAATAAACTTGCTTGCTCAAGTTTACTTAGCATTCTCATTTAATAAAACAACAAACAACTATGGAAAAATGTATTTTTGGAGGTGCTGAACTTGGTTCAGACATTTATGATGTTCAATGTCACATTAATGAAATCTCAATTCTACAGAAAATCCATCTTGAACAAAGGCTATTCTGTGTACAAAGTGGGTGAAAAAACGTACCTATTAATATTTATAAGACAATTTTTACCATCAAAAGCACATTGTTACATGCTTGATAGATTATACAAATGAATTTTCCTTCTGCACAAATATCAAAGAAAGCTGTGGTACTTATATTCATAGGGTGTTTTTGTTGTTTTGTTTAGTGGTGTGAGATTCTGTGAGTTGCTAATCAACAACCTCAGTGGAGAAAACATGATTGGCAGTTGGAGGCCTGTGACCCTGGAGTTTTAACACAAGAATGTGCTACAGAATTAAACAAAAGAAAAATACATTTCAGAGGGGAGATGTACACATAAAAGAAAAATAAAAACAGCAGGAAATCAGAGTGTCATAATTAGTTTGGAAAATAATCTGTCTTCAAGCAATGTACTACGTTTGATTTGTGATAAATAACCATAATGTGCTTTTGAAATGTGCTTTGCCAACATGGCTTTAAAATGCTGATACTTTCAAATTAGTCCCACATTCCATTAAATACTGAAGTTCCAAGAGCTGTATACTTTTAGAACTTTAGTTGCTATAAAAAGAGAAAATAAATAGAGGGTGGGTGGGGGGTTGGGGAGCTAGAGAAGTGAAAATGTTCTTGAAAATAGAGTCTTATGTATGAAGAGAGAAACAGAGAAACACCCACCAACAACATTGGCATTTGCTGACATGAAGCAACAGGGTAGTTATTTAGGGAATCCAATCTGAAGAAAGAAACAAATTTGATGTGCCTGTTAACTTTGGATCACCCAGCCTTAATTCTCAAGAAATTTTTACCCAAAAGTCACTGTTTCAAATTGTGTTTCATTCCTTTAGCTCGATAAATGGATTTGAGCTCCAACTAATAAAGATGGCTTAAAGCAGTAGGAATTCTTATTCTGTAGACTACAGACATGTTGGGTGAGATCATTCTCTGTTGTTGAGGACTATTATAAATTGTAGGATGTTTAACATCATTCCTGGCCTCTACGCACCAGATGCCAGTAGCATCACCCCCAAGTTGAGACAACCAAAAATGTCTCCAGACATTGCCAAATGTCTCCTGAGGAACAACATGCCTGTCCTCCCCACTGAGAACCGCTTGCTTTAAAGACACCAGAGAAAGGAGTCTGTGCGTGGGCAGAGCTAGCAGAAAGTGGGAAGAAATGAAATGTGACATAAAATCTCACAGTGGCTTGTGAAATGAATGAATGGATGGATAGACAGGAAGGCAGATAAATAGATAAATAATGGCAAAGCAATGCTTCTTACTTGGCCACAGGATTAATGAATTAATTTGGCATTGCAGTTGGACAAGCAAGGAAAATTAATTTCTCTTGGACTATTTAAATAACAGCTTACTTTTGTTTCAATAAAGGTCGGGTCGTTCTGGTAGACATGTTTTCATTCAGTGTCCCTTTTTCCATTGGAAAACTGCCTCTCTCCCACACCATGTGATTCCTTCTCAGTGATTGGCATAGGCACAGATATGTGACCCAAACAAAGCTAATCAGAATCGTCTGAAGGGATTTTGGTGGTTGGTGGAGGAGCAATGAACACTGGTAGCCACCTTTGCTGCCAGCTGCAGGGAGCCGGGCAGAGGAAAAAGCCAATTCAGAGGCAAGAACGGCTGGAAGACCAGAGAATTCCTGATTCTCTTCAGGTCTTAAGCCAGTCTACACCTTACACTTCCCTGTTACATGAGTAAAATGAGCTCCCCACTGCCACTGGCTTTTTAACAAAAACTAAGCTGATGGAGGTTTCTGTCACTAGCAACCACTATAATCCTAGATAAGAAACACTAAACTACATTACAGTTAGTAGTGTCAAATTACATATTTTGAATCAGATTAGTTATCACATTGAAAAAATAATTTTTGGACTGCAGTTCTTTCTCCACAACAGAAATTCCCCAGGACCGTACCAGCCAGCCGCCAAATTAAAAAGAGAGAGAGAGAGAGAGAAAAGAAAAATCCCCAAAGGAGCTGGCTGGTTGCTCATTGATTAGAATGTGGTGTTTTAACACCAAGGTCAAGGGTTCAAATCCCCACACTGGCCAGCTGCAAAAAAAAAGAAAAAAAAAGCCCACGGGAGACTTATGTTAAGAAGGCCAATGCTCTTCATTCAACCGAACATCATCTGCTGGGAAAATACATGAACAATAACCTGGATTTTTTTTTTTAAATGTTCCTTACTGAGCAATGGAAGACTGAAGAAATTCTCCTATAGAGACGAGGTGCGATGTGCAATGTATATGTTAAAGATGACCAGTGTAATGCTGAGCCCCTTAAACTTCTAAATTAAAAGAATAATTATTAAATCAAAGTTTCAATGTGAAAGTTTTAATGTGAAATGTCCTGATGTTGCTGATCTAAATAGAAATAATTTAAATATTCAGATTATAAATATTACGATTATTAATATTGCTAAGATATAAATGACTACTTCTACAGCTCCTAAATAACGGTTGCTTTAGGGGATTGTGACAATAATGAAGATCAATTTGTACATTTGGTCATTAATCACCATTTCCTAATTGGGTTTAATCTAACTACTCCTCATTAGAGTTATAAACCAACATACTCATTTAACTGTGATTATAATTCAAGAGCTGAACTTTTATGGCACTATGAACAAATTAATAGCTAAAGATAATTTTGCTCTTAAAAATATTACATAAAACATGTTTCAATCAACTGTATATACAGAATGTTTTATAATGATTCCTTCAAAAAAACTCAAGAATTTTCCTTTCTCTTAATAATTAAAAGGCAAATTTCATGAGATTTTGTAAATACCCTCTAACAAAAGGTTCCCACACCCCTGATCCCTGCGGCCAGACCACAACTGGTGACTGACTACTTCCCAAAGGGTTGAATAAAAATAGTTTTATAGTGCCGGCGGGTTAGCTCTGTTCGTTAGAACACAGCTTTATAACAATAAGGTTATGGGTTCAGATCCCCATACAGGCTAGCCAACAAACCTCCCCTTGCCAAAAAAATAGTGTTATACCTTGATCTTTATACCACTCCATAGCTGAATTTCCATATTTTTTGAATATGAGATAACCAGTCTACTTGTGCATACTACAGTAGTTTGAAAAGCAACAAATGACCTTTAAGAACTTGTACACTGAACTTCCTGTCTTTCATTTCTTAGATTTAACTATCAGCTATTCAATGCATCATGAATTCTAACTGGCATTCCCAAACTGGTGACAACTTCTAGGTCACTCTGATGAAAGCAAATTAATAGTTTAAAAGGGAAAAAGTAGAAAAGAAAGCAGGTCGCAGTCAGTCAGTCTGTCAAAATTGGAGTCAATACACATAACTCAGAGAGACATGGGTTTGAATCCCAGCTCCCATAACCAGCTGTCCCTGGGAGAGTCACACTCATTCTTCAACTCACTATAAAATGGGGATCACAACTCCTAACTTTCCAGGGTTACGGTGAACAGTAACAAAGAATGTACATAAAAGCTAATCACAGTGCCTGGCCTAAGAGTTCAAGGGACAGTTTCTTCCCCTTCCCTTCCTCTCTTTATGAAATACTGATGATTTTATAGCCACAGCAATTTTTAAAAATATTTGTGAATAAAAGTAGTTTGTTCATAAGTGACCTAGCCCAGATTATGATCTGTTGGTCAGCCGTGTAGACCACGAAATATACTGGCTTCTTACACACAAACTCTTTGCTTGTCCTAATCATAGGTATCATTTTTTACCACTTTATTTGACTTCAAAAACAACAACAACAAAAACCTGAGGCTAAGTAACTTGCTCAGGTCTGTAGCCAGATGTGGCAGATCCAGAATTTATACCCAGGCCTCTCCATGTTCCAAAGACGTGATATTTTAGCTTTTCTGAGTCTAACTACAGAATCTCTGAAATATGCTAAGGAGAAAACACTGTACCATCCACCTTGGTCCACAACTTCATATGTATGCACATAATGATTTGCCCCATTTACCAATTCATTGGAAAACCCCTGCTTACGTACTGCCCACCACACGCTAGATAACATGCAAGAGGGATAAAATGGACTAAAAAAGACAAGGTTCATGAAACTTACATTGTGGTGTCACTATCCTATCAACCTGCTATTCCACTCTGTCCCTCATCCTTCACCCCCCCAACACACATTCACAAGCTTGTGCTATCAGATTAATGAAAACTTATCAAATACTTGCTGCATGCAAGACATAGTGCAATGTGGCAGGTGCTGAGATATAGTTATTTATACTCTACAAGTACCTGACAGGAGAAACCTTCCCCACAAAAATGCCACCTCCTCCTACCTGAAGCAGAAGCTGCTGACCAAGTAAGGCGAAAGAGTTCAACTGGGGGCACTAGGGACTTCACCAAGATAACAGAAGTTCACCATGGGACACAAGGTGACATCATATATAGATTTATGCAAACTAAAAAGCTTCAAAAAGTTCCAGTTTCATAAAAATAGTTGTATTCATTACATCCAAGCACAGTGGCTCCTGCTTCCACTCCCACCCAGATCTTTACCTTAGTAGCAACAGTGATGGCCTAAAAAACATGACAGGTAAGGAGGGGTGGGGGAAGGTGAATGAATGTTTCTAAGTAAAACAAGCAGCAGCTTCCTCCAAGGCTTGGCATTTGGCTGCAAACAAACCCAAGTGCTGAAATGTTCAACTGCATCATGGGAGCATTTGAAACTATGGCAGGAATTAAATTACTGAAAGAAATTCATGCAAAGCTGCTACTACAGTCTTCTGTGCAATTTAATTTATAGTTTGCATAAGTAATTATAATATATTCATTTGTTTTTTCTTTTTTTTTTTTTTTTTACCTTGTCCTTCTGGAGTTTCACCAAAGGGATTCACTTCCACCTGAGTAGCATCAATTTTCAGGAAGAGATTATACAGCTTCTTAATTTGATCTGCAGCCTAAATGTGATCAAGTGAAATGGAATTATACCGAAGCATTAAAAGAAAATTTATTTTGCTGGATTAATGAAACCTTAAAAATAGCAAGTTATGTCTTTACTTTCAGTTAGGTTTTCTGAAGGGAAAAACAGAAAAGCATAATTATTTTAATTTACACTGCTATTCATTAAAAGGAATTGCTCAACTTTCCTCCAGACACCAGAAAAGACCACTATCAAGAAAACAAAATATTTTCAGCACAATCTAAGATGCTGTTAATCTTTTTGTAAATTATCATGTCCCTATTAGCCAAGTTATGCCACAATATAAGCTACAGTCATCAATACAAACAAGCTCTATTTAACAAAAGGTAAACATGATTTTGAGAGTTTATAATGACTAGGTTTTCCTTATTATGCTAGAATAAAACAGTTGTTATATTCATCAATCCAAACCCATAATCTGGGAAACAACAATTACTGAGTGTCAAACAGAAATTCCTGCAAGACAGGAAGATGAAAGTCCTTCCAACTATAGCCACTGAACAGCACAGTCAAAACTGAATCTGCATCTAAGATCTAGTAACACCATACCCTCATTTGGTTCCTTGATCTTATGATCATAGGGATAGAAACAGTTTCCTGGTATTATTTAGCTCTATGTTGCCTTTCTGTCCACTCTTAGATTTCTCAGTTCTTGTACCACCTATGTGACAAACTCTCTAGAATCAATCCCCAATGGGGTAAACACTCAAAGTGGTTCCAGATTTGACAAAGAACTTGTATAGATTTACTTTTTTTTCTTCTTTTTCTTGTATTGGCAGCTGGCTGTTATGAGGATCTGAATGAACCCTTGACCTTGGTGTTATAGCACCACGAGCTAAATAACTGGGCTAACTGGCCAGCTCTCCTATAGATTTAATTCATATTATCTTCATATACTTTATGTCTATTTGTAAATTTCCTTAAATCTTAACTGGAAACCCTGTGGACATAAATAACCAAAAATATATAATAAGTTGAATATTTTTAATATTAAATAATTTATGGGTAGATAATACATGTACATAGGACAAAATTCCCTAAGTGTGCATGGGTGTCATCTGATTGTACTCCCAGCCCCCACGCAGCAGCCGCCTTACCAAATTATGCTTCATCTGAGAGAGATTCTATGCAAATGCAAATATGTATATTCTCCCTGCATCTTTTTTTAAAAACCAAACTTGGTTCTATACCTTGTTTATTTACTTAATACATTTTATTGGCCCTTCACCAGCAACAGAAGTAGATCAATCTTACTCTTTTAATTGACTGCATAATATCTCATTGTATGGATGACCCATAAATCATTTAACCTGTCACTTAAATAATGGCCATTCGGATTGTTTGTAATAGGTTGATATTACTTACAATGCTGTTTTAAGTATCTCTGTATATATCTATCACACATGTGATTAAACATCTGTAGAATAAACTCCCTAGAGTGGAGCAAAAAGAGGGGTAGGCATTATAAATATTGAGGGACTCTGTGAAATTGCTCTTGGTAGAAGTTGTCAATAATTTCCACTCCCACAAACCAGTATCAAAGAGATTATTTTTCCACTTACAGCCATCATCCATCTGGATCTTTGCCAGTGTGTCAGGTGAAGAAGAGTATCGTATAGTTTTCATTTGAATCTTTTTTATTTTCAATGAGTTTAAGCATTATTCTATGAACTTGAGACATCTGTGTTTTCTTTTTTGTGAATTTTGCCCATTTTCCTGTTCAGATTTTGGTCTTTTTTTTCTTAATTTATAGAAGGTTTTTTTTAACACGAAGAAAATGAGCTCCTGATCCCTTGGAAACTGCAAATATTTTCCCCATTTAACATTTACTTCTTTCTTTTCTTTTCTTTTCTTTTTTTTTTTTTTTGGTGGCTGGTCAATATAGGGATCGAACACTGGACCCTGGTGTTATCGGCATAACATTTATCTTTGGCCATGTTTTTGCTACTTTTGCCACATGAACATTTCGTAACAATAATGTCACTCTTTTCTTTTATGGCTTCTGGCTTGTTTCAGACTTTTGAAAGGCCAGTCTCATTTTGAGGGTATTTTTTTTTAAATTCTCCCTTTATTTTTCCTAAGACTCTTTATGATTTCCTTTATAGTAATTACTCCCTTTTCTTTTATGGCTTCTGGCTTGTTTCAGACTTTTGAAAGGCCAGTCTCATTTTGAGGGTTTTTTTTTTTTTTAATTCTCCCTTTATTTTTCCTAAGACTCTTTATGATTTCCTTTATAGTAATTACTCCCCCCCCCCGCAAAGGAATCTGAGTTAGTGCAAAGATGACAAACAACTCATGTTGAACATATTTTGTATTTTGGGGGGTTTCTAGGTCATCAGGAGATTGCAATGTGAACTGCAGGAGAAAGGCACCCTGTCTATCCTGGACACTGTGACATCCACTGTACTTACACAGCCTCTGCACAGAATCACCACAATAAATATTGGTTGAATTAATGATTAATTTAATAATAAGGGGACACCACCTAATAAAAATTACTTCTGGGTACATACATATATAAGATCTTATCCCAGCCACTTCAAACTTCCCTTGTTAAAAAGTTGTGGTAAAATATACATAACATAAAATTCACCATCTCAACCATTTCTAAGTGTACACACATTTCAGCAGTGTCAAGTACATTCACACTGTTTTGCAACCAATCTCCAGGACTTTTCATCTTCCCAAATTGAAAATCTATACCCATTAAACAACAATTATACATTCTCCCCTCCAAACTGTCTGCCGCTGGCAACCACCATTCTACTTTCTGTCTCTATGAGTTTGGCTATACTAGGTATCTCATGTAAGGAGAATCAAAGAGTATTTGTCCTTTTATGACTGGCTTTTTTCACTTAGCACTATATCTTCAAGGCTATCCATGCTGCAGCACGTCAGAATCTTCTTTTTCAAGGCTAAACAAACTTCCAGTGTATGTATTCATATCATTTTGTTTATCCATTCATCCCCAGAGGTACACTTGGGTCACTTCAAAACTTCTTAAGCCTATATTAACTTATCTTTGTATGAAGCCTGAATTTCCTGTATGTTAATGCTACTGTGTATACGAACAGCATTTTGGGGGTGTTTGCTATTTTAATAAAATTAAAATTTGTTGTGCAAAGGCAGACTATAAACATTTTTTCAATGGAACTGAAGCACAATTAGATCTGTATTGTAAGATCTACAAGGGAAAACCCTTGTAAAATGTCTTATTCCAGAAGCTATACACAAAATGGCTACAAGAGCTAGGCATGCAACACATGTCAGTCCAACCAGGTGTAATAATAAAGAATGGCAGGGCCCGTGGCAAGTTGAGATTAGCTCCCCTGCTTTCTAAATGTGTTCAAATATTAAAAATAAATTAAACCTAGGTCAAGAAAACATTCTGCTGGTCAACACACAGTCAGTCATTTATTATACCATCTATTTTCTGTTCATAATCAGAAAATTTTTCTTACCTTTTGCCACCAATTAATGTCAGGTTAAAGTTGCTTGTTAAGCAACTCTAAAAAATTTAAATCCCTAAAATCAAATACTCATACATTTGTGCCTCAGTATCCACAGGGAATTGGTTGCAGGACCCCCGTGGATACCAAAATCCGAGGATGCTCAAGTCCCTGATGTAAAATGATGTAGTATTTACAGATAACCTGTACACATTCTCCTGTATACTTTAAATAACCTCTAGATTACTTACAATACCTAATACAATGTAAATGCTATGTAAATAGTTATTATACTGTATTTTTTATTTTTTTCAAAGTTTTTCCCACATATTTTGAGCCACGGTTGGCTGAATCTGCAGGTGCAGAACCGTGACAAGTTTGTGAGTACCTTCACAAATGTTTCAACAGGTTAAAAAATTTTGAATACTTTTCTAGGATTCCAGAAAATATCATCAACATTCAGGGATGGTTCTCAAAGGTAACCAGAGGTACATACCATTCCCAGAAGTATTAGTGATCTTGTACTAACTTAGCCCATCAGATCTTTTCACCAGCCTAAATCCTGGAGGCACATGTTGACAATTAGGGGCACGTGTTGACAATTCATGGCACCTATGTTTTCAGAAATTAATACTACAGATGATAATTTGATAAACTTGATAATTTTTAGTCTTAATATCAAGCTTTCCCCATGACTTTAATTTGTTCAACAAATTCTTGCTGAAATGGGTTTTAGTCAGGAACACATGCCTGGTAGATTTTATGTAAGGTAAAATATCCTCTTTATTTTTTGTTAAGTCTAACATTAATAAATCATATTTTAGAGACAGCAGGCATGAGTCACAGGAAAGATATTAATAATTTTACAAGATAATCATTTTATGTTATTTATCCATGCGTGAAGTGCCTCTAAATGCCTAAACCACATCTTAGATGACAATTAAGTAACTTTCAAAGTCACACTGAATCTAAGGGGGCCTCAGAAACCATTTCTTTATGAAAGGATAAGCCATCAATGATTGTTTAAATGTCTCCCCTTCTCAGGTGCCTCGTCTGCTCACTGGACACTGGCTTTCTGAAACATTTCACTGATCCCATGGCTTGAGCAAGCATCATAAATCAGAGATCCCTAAATCTCCCTCCAGAGCACATCTCTCCTTGAGATACCATGCTGCGTTCCTTTCTACTATACAAACATACCTGGGGAATCCCCAGATGGACTAATTCCAGCATGTATACAACTGAGATCAACCTGTCTGCCTGATCCTCATGTACCTGCATGGGCCCCTCTTCCTGTATTCTCCACCAGCAGGCAGACCTCCACTGGGGTGTGAGCCCCTGGGGAACAATGGCTATTTCTCAATGTCTCTGCTCCCCAAGGCCCAGCAGAGTAAGCAGCACCCAACCAGTGCTCACTCCCAGCTGCAGAGCAAATGAACATTTAAAGCCTTTCATGGACTCAGCAATGAAAAAAGAAAAAAATAATTTAAATTTTTTCTTTCTTTTCCTTGATAAATTAAGTTAAAAATATAATGATGATATAGCTGCTTAATGATCCCTGAGCACCTGCCTGCTCATCTCCCTCCCACAAAGTAACTCACTTAAAACCTAGAGTGTTTTGGGCACTGGGAAAACATGATCAAGCCATTTAAGAGCTATAAATAACTCTTAATTTTCTCTTATAATTTGGGGGGGGGGATGTCTTATAATGTACATAATGCTATTATTGCCTTCTCTAGAACCCTCTACTGTGTTCACCTCCTGAGCTTTCAAACCATGCAGTCAACAGATTTTGGTACACTCCAGATTTATACTTCTGCCATGTAAAGCCACCTATTGCTGACTCCCTAGGACACTCTTCGAAGTGGACAGCCCAGAGGTGCTGTTTCACTTATTCATACACATGACAAATGTTTCTTTGGCAACTAATATTACAACAAGCACTTTGTGGGCTGCTGGAAACACAGCAATGAGCAAGATGAACAAAGGCCCTGCTGTCATGTAGATTAGGATCTAGCAAAAGTGACTGCAAATTAACAAGAGAAATACAGATGTGGGAAGTGATATGGAAGAGGTGAGTGGGGTTACTGAGCACATCCCGGAGCTGACTGTAGCACAGTGTAGCTAGAACTCAGTGAATGTATGGGAGAGTGGCTCTTGGTGACCACCATCCCTCCACGAGAAGCCCCTTAATAAATGTCAAATGAATGGCTAGTGTAGTTTAGTAGCCTCATTTTCAGGAGGTGAAACCACTGCTGCACGTACCTAGGAACCTTCCAGTGCCTTCCTTTCAACACATCACTTCTCTGGCATCTCTTTGCCAGTCTCAGAAATGACAATTCATTCCTCTGATGGTCCACTGAATACTGGCCATTTCATTCTTCTCCTGAGGTTTAGTCCCAGGTGACCTTGTCCCCTTCCATTCTGAATCTCTTGTTTTCCAAGGGAACCTTTACTCTCATTTTCAAATAAATACTATCCTCCCTTCATTTAAACATATGTATTTTTAAAGTCTAATTCTGCTTTGGTTCTTTGACTTGCCTACTGTCACCACTAAACTTCTAGAGATAGAGTCAATCAAAAGAAAAAGTAAATACAGAAAGAAAAGAGAGCAAAACCTACTGTTTTATGTGACTAGTGCTACCCAACTAAATTAAACTTTGTACTCTGTAACCACCATGGAGCCCCAAGCCAGGAACACACACACACACACACACACACACACACACGTACACACACGTACACACACACACACCACAATCTAGGGTTATTAGGTGGCTTCTCTGAGTCACGAAGGAGGGAAAAGTAGCCAGTAAGTTCTTCTGATTCAGTTGTACAACAAGGGAATTCATCTAAACATATGAAGGGGTCTTCAAAAAGTTCACGGAAAGATTTGTATTTTCTTTAATTCTTTTTCCACAAATTTTCTGAAGTATTCTTGTCTAATCAGGCACCACAGGCTAAACCAAAGGCAAGGCAGAGCTGTGATCCTCAAGACAGATTCTGTCCCTCAACAGCTCTGAGAACAAGTTCTCTGTCCTTGAAGCCAAGGGATATCACAACGAACTTGGCATATTTTATTTAGGCTGTTCTCAGTGAAAGATCACCTTCATGCCATCAACATTCATCTCAAATGCCCATTAACTGTGAAAGAACAGCAATTAGTTAAGTAGCGTGTATCATTAACAAACAGTAAGAATGGACCTTTATCGGGGCATTGTAACAAACTTTCACATCTCATTGTACTCAATCCTCACAACAAATCTCTCGGAAGCTGCTATCATTCCTGTTTTATAGATGATATAACTGATGTTCGGATGGACTGAATCACACGTCTACCAGGTGACAGTACCAGCAATGCTACAGAAAAAATAAAGATTACCAAACATCCTAAAGTATATGTGTCTGCATGCAACATACATGTGCACACACCTGGAAATATATACAAACACGTGTGTCACAAACATTCTCTTTTGAGACACCAAGGAAATATTTTTCTTCATCATAAACAACTGGAGGAAAAAAAAGAA